GGATTTCGTCGCACACAGAGCCGTTCACGTTTGAACTCACGTGACTTGCTGCATGCTCTCATTCACGTCCTCCACATTCATAACCCAGCAACATCGGGTTATTACTGATATCAACCCAAATTGGGTCAAATCAAGCCAGCTTCCTAACCCAACAGTCTCAACCGAGCGTTTGGATTGAAACAATTACCAGCTTGTTTTATATGTGTAGGCTATAAAAAAGTACACAGTGTATGTTTTTGCTTAATCGCTTGCAAATATAAGAGGTCATAATATTAGAATAGGTACCCCTTAGTTTCAAAATACTTACAGTAGAAATCATTTGTAATTTTACAGATTATTACTCCTTTATTCTCCAAACTTCGCATATTGTTACCTTATACCTACACGGAGGTACTGAATAGGTACACTGTAATTACAAAAAAGTTACGCTGTAAATTCTGTTTACTTACGCAGTACATTGCGGGTTGTAATCTAAAGCGTTACCGACTTTTTTTTTCATTTTAGGTTAACTATGCCTTTAAAAATTGAGAGAATCAATGGTTAGTGTGGTTGTGTGTTCTCATAGCAAAGCTAATGTCTTTTGCCCCAAAATGTAATCTCGTTTTAGGAGATCCATCAGCTTCTCTCACTCTCTTTCTCTCTCTCAACAAAGTAAAAAAAAAAAAGAAGGAAACTGTGAACAGAGGAAGTATCGATCGAGCTGAGAGAGAGGTCAGAGGTGAATGAAATGTTGATTTGACACCTGGTCGTTGCTCCCTCCCTTTCTGTCTGGAGGGAGGAATGAAGGGTAAATCAAAACAATGGGAGGCTGAGATCTCTCACAACCATTTAATGTTGGAGTGGGTTGAACCTTCTCTTCCATCCTCAAGCGAATAGCATTCCATGTACTGTACCAGCCACCGAAGTGTGTTTTTACTAGAGGAGAGGAAGGGAGGGAGGCTTAAATTGATTACTAGTTAAGTTGATAGACAGTTGGACAAACTACTTGCAACATAAAGTGTGAGTGTGACGTGACATGTGGCCAAGTATGGTCACCCATACTTGGAATTAGTGCTCTGCATTTAACCCATCCAAAGTGCACACACACAGCAGTGAACACACACACACCGTGAACACACACCCGGAGAAGTTGTAAAGAAACAAACTAATGTGAATGATTGGCCATGGCAGTGCAAAATGTCATCCTGTTGTATTTATCGTACAGTCGTGTGCTTGTAATGTAACTCCAATACTCCAGGGGGTGATAAAGTTATCTTCAAATGTCTGTTCCAGTAAACCAGATTTGTTGTTATTCTAGTATGTAACTATATTGACTATTTCACTTACTTGCTCAGCAACTGATGTTCTGTCTTGGCAATAGTTGTCGTGAAAGTGACAGCTGACGATAGAAGACCATTTATGCTATTGCTGCTGTGGACCTCATACGCTACTGTATATTTAATCTGATGCAAATAAAAATGAGGATGTGAGGATAAGTACATTTTTTCAGTTTTCAGTCAAGTTTTTAGATTTTATGGTTCACTGGGATGTTTTTAGAAAAATGGCTTTTCGATGTATTGTTGGTTGATTGATTGACACAAAATTATACAGCCTTATATCACATTGAACTGACTGTACAGATTTATTGAACTAAAATTGGCTTCTACCCTGACTGCAGCAAGTACTTACAAAATGCATTCTGACACTCAAAAAGTAACAGGATATGAGTTGAATTTGCATACTTGCTTCATGTATTTACACAAAGTGCATTTTGATACTAAAACAGATAGGCTAATACAATATCATAAACATGCTAATGTTAACTGGACAGAGCTTAATGCGTAAACAAATGAAAAATGGATGTAATGGAACAAATAAACCCATAAACCCGGCAAAACAAATAAAAAAGAAATAGTACTGATCTCTGTTTTTCTGCTCAGAGGCAGGGTTATGTACTCGGACCTTTGTTTTTCTCATCTGAGATGCGTATCCTGAGGTGTGGTTGGGATTAAGTTTGCGTGTGCAGTTTTTCTAACCCTGTTAGGGCTGCATTAAGGAGTGAGTAATCTCTTCACACGCAAGTCCTCGCTCTCTTTCATTAGCCAGCAGTGCTGCCCGGATCTATAGCACTCTGCTGCTCCATATGAAACCCAGACCTGTCCAATCAATATGCCCCAAGGCCGCAGCGAGGGCAGAGGCTGAGGAGGATGAATCCTAATTTGATGAAATACGCATTTTGGATCGCTCCGGATGCTTGCAGGCCTGGGGTAATTGTCAACAAATTCATCTTTAAGGCCGGGATTGCTTTCAATTAGGGATGGACCTTCTGTTTAGCTGTTTGTGGACCACTGCTCACCTCTCACCAAGTCTGAGAGAGAAGAAACACTCACACACTCACACTCTGGCAATATAGAGTCTCATCAGGATGTGGTTATTGCTCTGAAAGGTGCATTTATGATTTGGCAGGCTTTAACTGTGAGCAAAGCCAAAGTGGTGCTTCTAACCGTACTAGAGAGTTTAATGGACTCTTAAAATATCCTTGTCTTGTTTGCTTGTCTCATTTTGTCTGCTCAAGTAAAATTGCCTGTGCTTACTTAAGTTTTATTGTGTATGCGATGACAAGGGTCTCTACTGTGTGACATTGATCACTGATAGTTCCACACAGTGTTGGGAAAGCTGCTTTCAAACTGTAATATGCTGTAATGCTAATTGTTGGACAAAATACCTTGTTACTGGAAACTACATTTTTTTGTAAGCAGCTGGTGTAATGTTATGCTAGTCAAAAAATTGTTAGTTAGTAGCGTTGCCTTTAAAGTGTTCAACTGTGGTGAATTTGGAAGCAACAGTTTTTAAATTTGTGATTACTGTTGTGCAGCATCTGTACCTTAAAGTTAACATGTAATGCTGGGCTAGATCATGTAACAGTCCAGTTTCTTGGAGCCAAAAAAAACACATAGAGGCCATGAATTAAGAATTTGTTCTCATGACTTATTAATCTGTTCCTTTATTTTAGTTGAATCGTGGCCACATTTAACTAAATCGTTCCATTGTCTATGATTTAACAAAACTAAAAGGAGGAAATGAATTGGCAGAATGTGGTCAAATTTTAGAGAAATTAAAACAAGGCAACAAAGTATTAAAATGTGCCAACGATACCGGAATGAATTAATACAGTCTGACCATGATTTGACTAAAACAAGGGAACAAATTGATCTAATTAATCAAATCTTTATGGAAATCTGAGGTTCCATCTGAGGTTGTGAAGAAAAAAAATTACGGATTTATTAGCAAAAATTTACTGGGGCACAGCAGAATTGTATTGGGTCTCCAGTGAAAAGAATCTTGCGATGCCACTGGTAACTTCTATAAAGTTTCCATATTTGTCTCTATTGAGTGCTTGTAAACTTCTCAGTAGAAAATACATAAAAATCATGTCTGCTACAGTCTGGGTGTTTCAAAGGTCTTGGATTAAAGTGTTGACTACTTTCATGAAGCTTTTCCGTTTTCGTGAGACAGACAGATAGGTGGTCGTCTCAGGACGGCTCTAGCGTGTTTTGACTGGGATTTATGAAGAATAAAGTGAATCTGGGAGAGGTTCAGCTTCTGTTTGCAGTGTGATGATCCATTGATTTGCTGTCTTTCTCTTCTGCAGGGACGTACGGACCAGATACAGGGTGGGCGGCAGCTTTTCCTGAGTGTCAGGAGAAAAACCAATCACCGATCAATATAGCCGACCAAGACACTAAGGTCTCGATGGAGTACCAGGAACTTACGCTGGACGGGTTTGATGCAGAGTCATCCAACAAGACATCAATGAAGAATACAGGCAAAACCGGTAAATACACACTGTCTTTTGGGGATAGTTCAACATAAAAAAAAAGTACATCGATCCATCATGTCATCAAACATAAGGACATATATCAGAATGTCCTGGCTGTTACATAAAAGTGAATGGGGTTTAAATTGGGCCATACAATTAGCCAAAAATCCTCTAAAGCCATGTAATAGCATTGTTTAAAGACAAGTATTTAAGTGCCTATTTCTAATTTTATGATTTTTTTAAAATATTTTTTATAAATATTTTTAGTTTTTATTAGAGACTGTAAAGGGTGACTGAACATTTTTGGAAGGGAGAGGAAATAGATTCAGGATTTGTTGCAGGCAGGATTTGAACCTGTCCCATGTGACCACCAGTGCTCAATGTGACAGTAGTGCATGCCAGTGGCAGCATCATGCCTTTGACCACTACAAATTATAGGTTACATTGAGTGGAAGTGTTCAACTGTCATACTTTCAAGCTCTATCAAACTTTTATGGTGTAATCTCCCCCCACCTGAACTTTTCACACCCAAAATCAGTTTTCATGGTACAGTCTTGCACCATTAAGCCGTACTTCAGCAGAGCATATTGAGGAAGTAAACACAGACACGAATTGCCCAGCGTTTCCCTCCTTAACATAATCCGTGCAGAGGAAGACAAATGTCCCGCTGTTGTCCCATGAATAATGGAGAGCTGCTCTGCTATTTATAACTGACACATGAGTGTTTTATCAGCGAAATAATCACCTGGAACAGGGCGGCACAATAAACCTACAGACTTGGCACCTCTGAATAATGCATGACTCAATCAATGTTTTAAATCATTTTATCTATAGATGACTACAACGTCAAGTGACCCTTGAGCGAAACACTCATTAGAGATGTCCGGAAAAGGAAATAGTTTGAAAAAGAAGGAAGTTGGAATACTAGCGTACTTTCTCACTAGATACTGTGTAGAATATAGTGTACACCAGTGTAGAGACCTGCGCGGGATGGATTTTTCAGTCCCGCTCCCGCCCGTTCCCGCAAGATTCTGTCCCGCGCCCGCCCGCTCCCGCAAAAATATATCTTATCTGGTCCTGCTCCCGCCCGCGACATTCATGTTTTGTCCCGCTCCCGCCCGCAAAAGCCCGCATAAAAGTAATCTATATAGATTGTTTTAAGTACATTGAAGAAATTTACATGAAATGGTTCTGTACATTGCGTTCCAGAAATCAACAGCTGAGTCTGTGATTGGATACATTATAAATGGAAACTAGGCTATGTCTAGTTTGTGCGTTAATCATTTTAATGTTAATATTAGTTGTTCTTTTTGCTTTAGTGCAACAGATAAATAACAATTTATATGTTTTAGACACATTATGTTTAGATCATTTCTATTTTGCGGGTACGAGTCTCTCCCCGCCCGCACCCGCACTCGCCCATCAAGCCGTCAAGCGTTGTCCCGCGCCTCACTCTGTTGCGTTGGGTCCCGCGGGTCCCGCGGTACTCCCGTAGGAGTGCAGGTCTCTACACCAGTGTACAATGCTCTTCCAAACATAGAGGTGTTTTCTCGAGTGAGCGAGCGAGTGTGTTGTTGGACTGCCCAGTGCACAAGCTTCTCACAGACCCCCGACAAATTAAACTTAAGAAATACATGAGATCTTGGAACCTTGAAGAAACATTTGCATTGATCAAGGATTTGCTGGCAGGCGAGGCCTAGTTTTCACATGTTGCCGTTCCAAAGTCCTGCTGGCTTAGCCGTCTAATTCCTGCCTGTTTGTTAAAGCCCATGAAGCTCAGAGCTGGAATAACTCATGAAGCGAATGCTCCCTCTCATGTCGGATTACGTCAAAGAAATCAACAAAAGACCAAACAACTTAAAGAGGAGTCAAGAGAAGTACAGAGAGCGTCGTTGTTTTTACCCAGGCTTGAGAGTGTGCTTTTGTGCGAAAGTGTGTCCTGCCATCTTACTTTTGCCCCTGGCACCTCCGAGTCACTCCACGTTGCTGTGGTGACAGATTCAGACTGCCACCAGTTGATTGCTTCAATATCTCAGCGGTTGGACACTAGCCTGTTTCGGTAAGATTGCAAGCGAGGTTTCAGAGGAGCTGTTCTTTTAAATAGGACACAAATCTCTTGTGGCAAGCGGCAAGTTAAAAAAAAAATCACTCTGAAATTCAATCAGAAAAGGAAATCTGTCCAACAAAGGCTGTGCTATTTAAGGTCGCACTCATTAATTAAAGTCCGGTCCTGGTGCGAAAAACCAATTTGTGAATCTAAATGCTCTTGGATGGAAGAGCTTTCACTATTGGTTGCCTCTTTTTTTATGGCTCGGGTTTTATGGAATAACAAAAGGAATCAAAAAAAGCAATTTGAAACGGTGTGAGGGGGAAATGTCTTCTCTCAGCCAAATTACTGCTTCATTTGAGACCTGGCCTTCTGAGGACAACAGCAACAGCAGAAAGAAAGTGCGTGTAATATTCAGCCTATGTCCCTGAGGAAGCTAAATGAATAATCATAAATACTGAAATGAAGTGTCCTCCAGTCATTTTCCTTTATTTTCAGTCAGAAATGCATTGGTCCTTGGAAGACATTTGGTTAATGTGCATGCCAAGAAAGTGGTCTTTATCTCACGGTTTCTCCCTATTTAACCCTCCTTCCTTTTCTCTGCACCTCACAGTGGCGATCTTCTTGAAGGACGATTATTTTGTGAGAGGAGCCGGGCTACCAGGCCGCTTCAAAGCCGAGAAGGTGGAGTTCCACTGGGGCCAGAGCAATGGTTCCGACGGCTCCGAGCACAGCATCAATGGCAGGAGATTCCCTGTGGAGGTAAGCCCCAACTAATCTCTCTCCAATGTCTGTTCCTATCTAAACAGCCCAGCTCTGCAAACTCCCAACTCTGGCCTACTTGCTTTATTTTGCAGGTTATGCTACTTTGCAATTGCACTCTTACTTGGGACTTTGTCTCAAGAACATTGAAGCAATGTTTTAACAACACTATACATTTCAAATGGCCCAAGATTTGTGGTGCTTCGAGGGTATGTTGCCTTTGGAGTTGTCTACAATAAAATGTATAAGAGAGTCTACAGTAGTTTGAAAATAATCTAATTTCATGGTTCTAAAACACCATGTGGTGTAACCAACAAGAAGTAAAAACATACTTTCCTTAACTTGAGTACATGCACGTCTTAAATGCACAGTAAATATATGTCAAATATATGTTAATAGATAAATATATTTTTCAAGGTAAAAGATACTTTGAGTCACACGACATGGTATTTTACCATCTTTGTCATAAAAGGGTTAAATTATCTGATATTTTAAGACAATTATTGTATTGATCTTGACATGTCATAGTCATAGACATGGTTTCCTGTTTCTCCATATTGGTCGCATCACATGACAAATGTTTTTCAAATATTATTAAGCAGTGAAGAAGCTTTGTTCATATATTTAATATTAAAAAATGAAATATTTCTAATATTTAAAATATGTAAAAAAAAATAATAATAATAATAAAAGGTTATTTAATTTCATTCTTTTAATGAAGATTTGTATCTTCATTACAATAGCATGCCCTCAAAATGAATTTTAATTCATAAATGAAAAACATGTTCATCATAGAAGAGGTGTGTTTAAATTAATGTACTGCTTTTTTAGTGTGTTTTTTTAATTTAATTAATAGCAAAAGGAAAAAATGAGCATCACGCCACAGCTCTCAGAAGTAATGAATAAAATGAGCTTTATCTGGACTTTGGTAGTGTTTACATAGAGGGAAGGCAGGAAGAATATTTGAGGAGAGAAGGAACGCCTGGCTGTCTCTTATAGAAGCGTGTAAAGGGCGTTCCTGTATTGATTGAACAGGACATTATGGAGACGAGCTTTCTCTTGGGTCTGATCACTGTCTGTTTGTGTCTTTCTTTGCAATTCTGATTTATCATTATGGCCGCCTGGCACCTCTCATGCACACTCGAGACCAGCCTCAAATATGCAAGTGATCAGAGTTTGGCCTGTTTTTTAAACTTAAGTGCGATGAATATTGTTTGGTTTGGTGGACGTAGTTTTATTGCCACCCTCCCGCCCAACCTAATCTAGAGAGTAAAATATGTGTTCGTTGGCCTGCATTAGTGTCCCCCGTATTGGCAGTTTGATGTGGCTTGGTGTGATGCTGTTATCGCTGTACAAATGTGACCCTGGACACCGGTTCATACCGATTACCACTGTTTATTTTTGTTATGATATGAATTTTTAAAATACTGCAATACCGGCGTATGTCGCTTAACGTTCGGAACGCGACACTGTTTGAAAGGGGTCCCTTTTCACTGTTGCACTGTGGTGAGGGAACAGCTGTATGTGTTACTAAGCGTGAAAGTTCCTAAACTGAAGCTATAGAACTAATAGAACATGGTGACCCAGAAGAACTCATCCACAATATCCACATTGACCGCCACAAATATCCACCACCCCCTGCCATCAGCTCCCGCATCTCACACACGAGTGCGACTTTAGCACTAGATTTAGCAACTTAGTGGCTTTTTTCCGTAGAATATTCATACTGACAAACCTAGTGACTTTTTTGGATAAACCTTAGCTATGGTTCAGTTGGAAGATTTCGCCAGTGCTGTCCCGCGAACGCGAGGTCTGACTTTCCCGGAGAAGTGTCACCTCTCTCGGCGTCTGTTCTGTGCAGTGAGCGTCAGTTGGCCGCACCGCAGCCGACTCGTCAATAAATAAGTACAAAACAACGTTTCCTAGCACCTGTCGCTTACTGATTGTTTAGAATTATAAATATGAATTCACTCATGACAGTAAAATAGGGCATTCTAAGTCACTATACTGCAGTATTTCCTCTCTCAACCAGTAGAAAATATGGTTAACACCCGGTCATGCATGAAAAAAAAAATCCCGTCATGTACCGTGAAACCGGTATAATTTTGAAAAATACCATGATATAAATTTTTGGTCATATCGCCCAGCACTACTCCCTCCTCCCTGAGTGTTAATATCACATGCACTTTTTTGTTTGTTGTTTTTTTTTAGTTTGTTACTCAGACGCAGGCAGTGCGCTGCATGAGACAAAAAAGTAATATAGCCAAAACAACCGCATAGCCGCTCTTTAGTGTAGATGCATGTTGATTTTATCAGACGATGCCACGATTATAAATGAGAGTGACTCCTGGTTATCATTAAAAGGGGTCGTGTTTAGTCACTATTTAGTGTGGTATTTTTTGACAGAATTCACTCATGACAGTAAAATAGGGCATTCTAAGTCACTATACTGCAGTATTTCCTCTCTCAACCAGTAGAAAATATGGTTAACACCCGGTCATGCATGAAAAAAAAATACTGTCATGTACCGTGAAACCGGTATAATTTTTAAAAATACCGTGATATCATTTTTTGGTCATACCGCCCAGCACTACTCTGGACCACAAAACCAGTCTTAAGTCGCGGGGGTATATTTGTAGCAATAGCTAAAAATACATTGTATGGGTCAAAATTATCCATTATTCTTTTATGCCAAAAATTAGGACATTAAGTAAAGGTCATGTTGCATGAAGATATTTTGTAAATGTCCAACTGTAAATATATCACATTTTTTGATTAGTAATATGCATTGCTAAGGATGTCATTTGGACAACTTTAAAGGCAATTTTCTCAATATTTAGATTTTTTTAGATTCCAGATTTTCAAATAGTTGTATCTCGGCCAAATATTGTCCTATCATAACAAACCATACATCAATGGAAAGCTTATTTAGTCAATTTTCGAAAAAATTTACCCTTATGACTGGTTTTGTGGTCCAGGGTAACAAATCTCATTGGCACTGAAGTTCTCCTACTGTATTCTTCCAGCTACAGTGTGTAGATGTAGCTTGCTTGAAAAAGACTTGTAAAAAAAATTGTAAAAAGGAATTTAGTAGACATTCTAAATCTTGTATTAGATATAAAGCAAATCATAGTATTTTACTTTAATGGAAAAAGATTTGCTGCAGCTGTGAGAGGCCAGTGTGCGACAGTGATTTTCAGAACCAGATCAAAATGAAAAAAAGAACGGAAGCAGAACAAAATTACTTTTTTTTTTTTTTGAGCTTAAGATTCTTTTTAGTGAATCAAAACTGACCAATGTAGTCCAACCACAAGGAATGGCGCTTATGATTTAGTTCTTTTTATTGAATGAAAAGCAGCATGACCAGTGTAATCTTACCAGTTCCTGAACAAATGACACATGAGCCATTTTTTTTTCTTTCTTTTTTTTTAGTGACTAAAAATGAAACAGCATAACTATGTAGTCCAATTCATCCCTGACTGAATGACCATTAGGGGCCAATTCTTTTTATTGAATCAAATCCATACGGCATGACCAGTGTAGTCAAACTAATGCCAGAACAAATTACTCTCACGAGCCAGTTTTAACGTTTAGTTTTAACTTAATTAACTTTTAGTTAATCAAAACAATACAGCCAAAAAAAATAGTGTAGCCTAACTAATTCAGAACGACCTGTATGAGCCGGTTCTTATTAGTGAATCACATCTATACAACACAACCAGTGCAGTCTAAATAATACCCAAATATATGACTCCAAATCTGTTGATGAACCAGTTGATTTTAGTGAATCAAAAACATACAGCACAGCCCGTCTAATCCTTCCTATTCCTGAACAACTGACCCTCATGAGCCATTCCTTTTTAGTGAACCAAACATATTAACACATACTATCCATTTAATAAATCTGCATTTGCAAATATATATCGTGTTTCCTTCAAGAAAGCAAGTGATCAGTTAATCAAGTAGCTTCAGAGGCAAATAAAGCAGGCATGTTTTATTCATTTTGGACAGCGATCTGTGTTTAGGTTTCTCTAATGTCTGTCTGCAGTGTGTTTGACTTGTTTGGTCTGTCACATTTAGTGTCTTGTAGTCGATGTGAGTTGAGTCTGAAGCTCAGAGAATGTAGATGAGGCTGCTCTTTTCACTCTATTACACAATCCTAGCTGTACAAAGAAAAAGTCAAAGAGACAGACGTGAGAAAGAAGAGTTTGGAACATCACAGAAGCAGCAGAAACCGATGACAAGAAGATAAATGCTAGAGGTAAGGTTAAGAACAAAACTGAAAAACAAGACGAAAAAAAGGTCAGAGCTGAAGTGAAGTGTGGCTTATTATGAATTAGTCTTCAACAGCCAAAACGCTAGCTTAGAACCAACACGCTCATTAACGAAACTAATTGAGTCAGAAAGCTAATTAAGACTATCAGCAGTGGGGCTCGTGGTTTTCCTGGCGTGACGTCACGTGTTTTGGCCTGTGCTCTCTTCATGAAAGCTCTTAGACCCCGACCCTTCACGCAGCTCTCATAGACAACAGCGTCACCTATGGATTAAAGCCATTTACAAAAACCTACATTAAGCGTAAGTGCTCGTTCCGTTTCCTTATAACGTGTTTATGACATGATTTAGAGGGTGTAGACTGAGAGAAGAGGGCTCATTAGACTGAATTAATTACACTAATTAGAACCACTGAAGAATTATTGAAAGGCTAGGGATGGAGGGTTGTTGTTGTGGTTTGTTTTTGTGTTTCCGTTTCTCTTTGAGGCAGCTCAAAAAAGAAATAATATCAATATTGTGTAGCCATTGACAGTGTCATCTACACAATTTTATAAAACTACAGTAGTATTTTTTTTATACAACAGGTGAATAAAGTTCACACCGAGAAATGTTTTCTAGTTACGTTGTCTATTTTTGCTGCACTAAAAGGAAATAGTTCAAACTAAATCCAAGCAGAATGACTGTGACGTTTATCCATGCAACACATTGTAGTTGTGTTCCTGAATAAA